ATTGCATTCTATGATCTCTCCTTCTATAGATTTAAAATAACATCTTGGTAGATAAAATACTTCTGCTGTTCTCATAACATCCACCAATTGTCTGAATTCTAGCAGTAGTTGATCTTCTATGGGATCGTCCCAATCTAAACCAGCTTTACACATATTTTGAAAGAGTATCTTGAACTGTATTATGAATGGTGACAAAATTCCAAGTGGATCATAAAACCTGGATGCTAGACTGACAACATATCTTTTGGTTAGATTCTGTTCTGTTGGTTGTTCTGTTATAGACTTCAAATCAAATACCAAATCTTCAGTTGAGTTCCAACAAACCCCTAATATCTTCTGAGTGTCAGCAGAGGTTGTGTTTCCAAATAATGACTTGGTAAAACTATCATCATCTTCTAAAACTTTATCCCTTTCTTCTTGATTTAAAACTTGTTCTATTGATTGATTATCCATAACTGAGTTCTTTCCCTTTAATTGATTTTCTTCAAGATTGATTCTTTCTGTTAAGACCTTTGAATTAGATATAAATTTTCTTAGATTAAATCCACCATCTGCTAATCTTAATTTAGCCTTTGTGTATAATTCATAAGCTGATTCTTCATCTTTGGCACCTTTGTGAATGTAGTTCAATTCCTTCATTGTTGTTGTTTTACATGAATTCGAATCCCCATCCTTCTGGCCAATTGTTTCAGTTTCCAGGAGGTATGCCAGTCACATTTAACTTCGTTAACGCAAATCTCAAGAAGTTGATTAAATTTATCGGTTTTAACGATTCACGATACAAGTTGCAATCATTTAGGATAGGTGCTGCAACCACAGCTTTTCTCAAAGGTCATTCAGAGGATTCCATTTAAAGAATGGGTCACTGGAACAGCAATGCCCTTGAGTCATATATTCGTTTACCAAATTCATAAAAAATAAAACGGTTGCAGAAAGTATGGATAAGCGCATGGTTGCCTGCCACCATACTTTTTCAAACCATATTTGATTATATTATATTAAGGAGTGATGGTGAAGGGTTTGGGTAAGCACAGGGTAGACTGTCTCCATATGTATTACCATCTCTCTACAAAAATTTTACCCATAGCTCAACAATTTTTTGTTTAATAGTTCCTGGGGGGTAAGGTACAGACTGGAATAAATTTTGTATGATTATTGAATTTTGTATGTTTATATATCACATTTGTACTGTATTTGTGTATCCTTAGGACCTTGATCCAATTACTTGTATTCGATTGTCTTACCTGTTTTCATTTTTTAAGTTCATGCTGGTGTGAGTATTGTTTTTGGGAATACCATCACAGGCGTGTGATGCATTTGGCTGATCTGTTACAATTAAGCCCAACATGTTCTCTGAATTTATATATATAGAAATATGAGTTATAATTATTCACTTTTAATTGTTCACTTTGTTTATTTGATTCATTACATTTATTCATTTAAAAGTTCATTTTCCATGAAACTCATATTTCATGTTGTCATTTAATAAATGATACTCACACCACATATTTTTAATTCATTAAAAAGGGGGAGAGATTATTTACTTGTGGATAGAGTCAGTACATGTTTGGCCAGTTATCAGACATAAATAGATATTCAATTTGTACTCAATGCATATGCAATGTATATTGAAATAGAGGATCTAGATAATGAGGATTAAAATATCCAATCTAGTAATTTAATAGAAGATAATAGAAAAGACCAAAAAACACTGGAAAATGTATCACTTGCAGAACTTTGTTTCTTGGTATGACCAGAAAAAACATTAAAAAGGGGGAGAGATTATTTACTTGTGGATAGAGTCAGTACATGTTTGGCCAGTTATCAGACATAAATAGATATTCAATTTGTACTCAATGCATATGCAATGTATATTGAAATAGAGGATCTAGATGATTAGGATTAAAATATCCAATCTAGTAATTTAATAGAAGATAATAGAAAAGACCAAAAAACACTGGAAAATGTATCACTTGCAGAACTTTGTTTCTTGGTATGACCAGAAAAAACATCGGCTTACAGCAAGTCTCGTCAGCTAATACGCCCACCAGCAGCTTGATAAAGAGCTAAATGTGAACTGTAAAACAAACTCTACATCGTAGCCTGTAGAGTGAGCACAAGCCAAAAAAGTGAAAAAACGTGATATCTCTCAAGAAAATTATCGGATCCACACCAAATTCAATAGTGCACATCTTCATAATGATATTGACACACATACAAAAGATCAAAAGATTCCATGGAGAATTAAAGGCTGTAGAGTGAGCACGAGCCAAAAAAGTGAAGAAAAAAAATGCAATAACAGAGTTTTATGCGATATCTCTCAAGAAAATTATCGGATCATCACAAATTCAATAGTTTACAACTTCATAATGATATTGACACACATACAAACAATCAAAGGAATCCTTAGAGAATTGTAGCCTGTAGAGTGGGCATGAGCAAAATAAGTGAAAAAAACGAACGTGATATCAGAGTTTTAAGCGATATCTCTCAAGAAAATCATCGGATCATCACCAAATTCAATAGTGTACATCTCCAAAAAGATGTTGACACACATACAAAAGATCAAAAGAATCAATAGAGAATTGTAGTCTGTAGAGTGAGCACGAGCCAAAAAAGTGAAAAAAAACGAACGCTATATCAGAGTTTTATGCGATATCTCTAAAGGAAATCACCGGATCATCACCAAATTCAACAGTGCACATCTTCATAATGATATTGACACACATACAAACAATCAAAGGAATCCTTGGAGAATGGTAGCCTGTAGAGTGGGCATGAGCAAATTTTATTTTCAGATGAAAAAAATCGGCAATAAATTTTTTCCTCCTTTTCAACCCAATTTTTTCACAATCATTAACTGACAACATCAGAGGATAGATGACTGTGATATTTTGTATGGCTGGAAACGGTAAATTTTGTCGATTTCAGATTAATATGGAACAAGCTGAAGATGCTGGGCCTCTGTCCACAAGTTTCATTTAGATTCATAGAAACACGTAGAAATTGGTGTGACTGCACTTTTACATTAATGGCTAATCTTGGAAAAAGTGTATACGGGACAGGATAATTGTCATCTCCCGGTATAATCGACTGTAGACCCTACGGCCTAATAGAGCCTAGTTACTTTCTTTTTCCTGATTCGTTTGAAACATAAAATATTTAATTTTGTTCAGTTGATTAGCCTGTGAAAGTTTTCAAATCTTTCAAGTAGAATTATATTTATACATATTTTACTGACAGATTATTGATTGAAAGAACGATTGTTGATTTTAATGAACAAATGTCAAAAAATGACCAACAAATGAAGGAGTAGGAATTGAGTAGTATCTAAGGATTAAGACGTCTTAATATGGGTCTTTCCATAAAAGTAGAGCCTTACGACAGGCCATACAATACAAGGCCAACATGTTTGTGGGTGTTTGTTTTTGTTTTGCATGCTTTGCTTTTAAGTACCCTTAGGTGCTTAATCTCCCTCTGTAAAAATTTGTGATAATTGTCATTTGTTTCCCTTTCAGGAAAAATGAGCTATTATCAGCCTTCCCTTTAACTGGTGGATGTCAGGATCAAAGAAGGTGGCTTTCTTTGATCTTCTGGTAGGCCTACATAGGTAATAATCAGAACCGTTAACAAGAATCTATTTTCAAGTGACGCGGTCTTTGAATGCAAAAGTGTGTAGGCATGTAATAGTGCCATCACAGCAGAAAAACCTCCTTAACGCGCTTCCACAGCAAAGGAGCATGTTAAGTTTGCCATAATATTAAGCATGGTATAAGCGTGTAGGAAACGCCAGACATTGGACATCATGAAGGGTGTTAGACAACATTCCCATGAACGTAATAAATGCGCATGCGTGGCAATGGATGGACTCCATTCAACCAGTCCTTATGGTATTTGAGCCCCTGTAGATAAAATTTTGATATGCAATGCATTAGTAAGCATCTGTTTCCATACGGGAAGGAAAATAAGACCCAAGAAAAATATTGGCTCAACTGGAAATTAGCCTTTATGAGAATGAAAATGTTGCGTTTGTAAATATATTTACCATTTTTTCAATTTTATTTCAATAAATAACCTTGATCCTGCAGTACAGTTGCCTGTTCAATAACGGGGAAGAAGAAGGTTCACATAGAGCATTCTTTATCTCTTAAGGATGTTGACTGGTCTATTTCTTGTCATTAAAATATGAAATTATTTTATGGAAAACGGATATCTTGAGTATGGTTGTACATTTTATGAAGATTTAGGGTCTTTCCCTTCAGTTTATTTCCTGCCCATCAGATTTTTTTGAATGTTTTGACAGCTCTTCACACTGTCATGAAAACTGAATATTTCAAATCAACAACAGAAGATTCAAAAAAGATGAATGGATCAATCTCGGTCAAACTCGGTCATGCTTTTTGTCCAAATCCCTTGTTTAGACTTTCAAGTGATTGGGAATGTCTTTCCGTTTCTATAAATTACTTTTACTGTGTGACATGATTTTTTCCTCAAACTTTAGCCCAGGAAACCCCCTTAAAAAACAAATTTACCTCACATCACATCAATGAATGGAAGTTGCCATTTTTACGGGTGAGGCGAAATTGTTAATTGCAATTCAATGCCCTGGGAAATTTTGATTTCCACAATCAATGAAACTTAATGATAATGTAATTGCTGTTTTGACATCATTGCCGAAGCAAAAAAATAGCGCTTTCAACTGCGACAGCGACGAAAATTCAAGAAGGTAATCAGTGCCACTTGATAGTTAAGAGAGCGTTGGCCACTCATAAGTTACACCAGAATTAGTCGTAAACTTATGATAATTTTGATCTTATTTTTTGAGAAACGCCACTTACAATCAATTCAACACTTACGACCTATGATTGATTGAAATTTTTTGAAAAACGGGACCCTGCTTTTGAAACATTTACACCTGCCAGTTAGCCCATAAATTGCTTACTGTTTCCATGTCAGCTCCAAAAAAAAATCTCAAAATATCATTTCAGTCTATAACATACCTCAAAAACTTCTTCACGTGATACTTCTAATCTACAATGTCCAGCAGGCGGAGCTAGTGACAGTAATTCTCCACGTAACAATTTAATTTTCTGCACAAGGTCACGTTTGTATTTTGGCAGGGGTTCAACTTCTTTATCTTTATGTTTTCTGTAATAATAATATTAATTATGATAATAATATTACACTTAATTAGTAGTAAAAAATTCAAAATTACAGAATGTAAAATGTTAATGTGCAATGAAAATAAGAAGGCTCTCTTAGTGAAATTAGTCTTACTCAGCGGACAAAAGCACCAAACTTTCAGGAATTGTAGGTAATGACTTGGCATTTGAGATTTTCCAAAAAATTTGGCAGCCATCTTGGATTAACAAGATTGCCACCACATTGAAATATGTAAATAATCATATCTCAGATTATATAAAATAATAATAACTAGAGCCACACGTGTCACAGAGTGGGACAAAGTGTGGCAAATTGTAAGAGACCTTCTAGGTTAATTAGGTCACGTGCCAGAACAGTTTAAAGTTACGACATTTTCTGTTTTTTTAAGGAAGTAGAATGAAAGTATCAGCCCTTGTAAAGGGGAAAGTCAACAAAAGTTAAGGTCACAAGATATAACTCATCAAATTTTCAAAATGTATATGGCTACAAAACTGGAAGCTTACATCGGACATCAAATATTAAGTAATAATAGATAACCAAGGTCAATGACCTTTGATCCTACATAAGTTTAGGTCAATGTCAAAAATTGAAAAATATGGAAATTCTAAACCCGTTTCTTTCTTGAACTTTACACAAACTTGCCAATTGGATGAGGTAGTATGCAAAGTCCCTTTTTGAACAAATGTATCCTATGCGAGTTATGCCCCTGCCACAAAATGTAAACAATTAGTAATTTTACATGAATGTGTCAAGCCCACCTCAACTTTTTTGTCATAGGTTAATTTATATTAAAAATATATAATTAAAATGTCAAGTTGTGTTACAAATTTCAAGCTTCAACATCAAACAGGTCATAAGATATACATACATCAAACTCCAAGAGGCAAAAATATTGTAAGAAAAACAAAAATTGAAAAAAATCACGAATTTTTATTATGCTTAAAAAAAACTATTGTTACATATCAAAGGAAAGAGCAAGAAGAGCACATTAAGAATCCGGAAAGGGTTAATTTGATCATGTGCTAGAGTAGTCCAAAGTTGCAAGTTTGGTTATTTTTCGACAGCCATAAAACTGGAAATGAAATGAAATACATTAAGGAGCATCAGCACCAAACGGGCTATATAGCTCCAGAACATGGTGTAAATATCATGTCATGAAAACAAAACTGAAACATGGTGGTATTAAAAACAAACAAAATATTTGAAACAAACAATGAAATTTAAAATAAAGACCTGCTTGTCTTAAAAAAACCACAGCCTTCTCATAAAGAAATGAAACGAATGGAGTTTTACGTCCTACTTTTCAGCATTCTCATAAAGAGAAGGTTGTGCAAATAAATGATGTAAAGATACAGCACGGTAGTGCTGGGATCTCAAAAGTTTGAGATGCTTGCACTCAATCAGCATGTGTTTCACTGTCAGACAGACTTGGCACTGCTCACAGACTGGTTGAGACACCTGCTTGAGCAGATAACAGTTGGTGAGGTGAGTATGTCCAAGACGAGAACAATACAAAACAACTTCATTTTTCCTGTTGGCCAATAGCAGTTTGGCCAGTCTCCTTGGAGAGGCTTAATGGCATGAAGCTTGTTAGTGTCTGCAGCATCCCATCTTTGCTGCCATCGCTGTTGAATAAAAGACCTTATCACCGATTTAAAATCAGTGAAAGGCAAAGAAAGGACAATATCCTTTTTCGGCCCAAAGAGCTTGTATATATCCCCGATTATAGGGTGTACAAGCTGGATGTTATTAATAGCTTGTAATGCAAAAGAATATGATACATTTTTTTTTAATGATGTAGAGGACTGAAAGAACTCAAGTGCCTGTAAAATAGCAAAGAGTTCTGCTGTGAAAATGGAGGCTGCTGATGGTAAAGCTACAGATAGAACTTCGGAATGGCTGCTACCTTATCACCATCCTTAGATCCATCTGTATAGAAAGGCGAGTAATACCTTAGTTCTTGAAATTTAGATTGAAACACTAAAGAGCTTGTCTGAGTTTTCTTATTGCTGGATAGGCTGAAGTCTATCTGAAATGGAGCAATTGACCATGCTGGAGTACGGGGCAGTAAGCAGGATGATGTGAGAACGATGCTATTTTAATGTAGGAAATGCACCTAAACTGTTTGTAAGTCCTTGATGAAGTATGAAGCGCTTTGATATAGGATTGACGAGCCAAACCATACACCCGACACCCGTATTCGAACTTGGAACGAACCAAAGCTTGATATAATTGGAGGAGGACCAAGCAGTCAGACATTTGTTCTGGAGGATTTTGATGTGAGGACGGAAAGAAAGCTTGCTGTCAAAGGTGAGACCTAAAAATTTCAATTCCTGTACAACAGGAATGGCAGCTCCGTCCAAGCGTAGCACTGGGTCAAGGTGCAATCCTCTACGTTAACAGAAATGCGTGCAGACTGTCTTGGATTTCTAAAACCTAAATCCATTGTCAGTTGCCCATTGCTGTAAGTTATTTAAGCAAAGCTGCAACTGACGCTCAATCGTCTGCATCTTTGTAGAACCATAACACATCTGAAAGTCATCGACATACAGAGAGCCATCAACCCCTCCTCTAAGGTGCAACGAGATGGAATTAATTTTAATAGAGAACAGGGTAACGGATAATATTTTACCCTGTGGAACTCCATTATCCTGAAGAAAAGGATCTGAAAAAATGGAGCCAAGTCGTACCTTAAACGTCCTATCATGTAGGAAATTGGAGATAAGTAATGGCAATCTTCTTCTGAGACCGAAGTCAAAGAGATCACTAAAGATAGCTTGCCAGGCAAGGTAATATACGCCCACTGGCAGCTTTGATTTTGAATATAAATATTTAGCAGTACAGCAACAATCACCAATATGAAATATTCAACCTTCAGTCAATCACTTCTTTAGGGCAATATTGAAATATATTGAGTATGAGTTATTGTCCTTGTTCTTAAAAACGTGTTCAATTTTTAGCTCGTGAAAACTCTAGAAGGCAAATATTCAATCTTCAGCGTGGGACTGAATAATAAAACAAAGTTTGTCAAAATCCAGCAAGAATCATGCCTTTTAGTGTTTAAGAGCTAAATTTGAAAGCGTTTTCAGGAACAAGGGCAACAACTCATAATAAATATAGTTCAATTCTTCTGATTTTCAATAGGATTCAGCCTTGAGTGATTACGAACACTCACACCAAGTTTCTGTCAAGAATTGTGCATTCCAGAGTGTTTACAAGCTAAATATTGGACGCGTTTTCAAGAACAAGGGCAATAACTCATACTAAATATTTTCAATTTTTCTGATTTTCATGAGGATTTATCCTTGGTTGATAAAAAACACTCATGCCAGGTTTCGTCAAAATCCATCAAGAATTGTGACTTCTAGAGTGTTATTTCATGTGTAATAAATAATAGAACTTGACATCAAATATCATCCTTTAATACCAAACGTTTCGTCAAAAAAGTTTTGACTTCATCAACAAACTACAAATGGAGAAAGGCAGTTAAGATTAAAATTACAATATGACCTCATAAGGATTATGATGTCGCAATCTTAGAAACCACATAACAAGAGAAGGGTCAAATTACAAAATGGTGGGAGGCAATGGGGAACAGATTACAACATGCCTAAAACTTGTTGTTGTGTTCCTCGATGTTCAAATAGAGGAGGGTATTTGTCACCAATCAACAAGAAGCTTTGAAAGAAGTGGATTGTGGCTGTGAAAAGGCAGAAATCACTGAAGGGAGATGCGTTGGGAGCGTAGTTTGCAGAGATTTGGTCGAATTTACATCCTCCGGCAAGTGTTTTCATTTGCTTTATTAGATAAGTTTCCTTTTAAATGTTGGAAATATTTGTCATTGTGATATGTCTATATTCTTCGGAAGCCACTTGACACTAGTACGGCTATGGTCTGACTCAGTCTTATTTACATCATAGAACTGTATGTCAGATTACTGACCGTAGGCTATACAGTTCTATGTTTTCATTATTACTCCCATTTCGTATATCTATGGCCTGGGTTGATAAAAATGCCAACAAGTGCTGATTTTAAAGTAGGCCTTAATAACAAGTATAATTTTTGAATATGATTTTACAAAAAAGAATTTTCAGTTCAAAATTGTTATGGGGGGAATTCTGTTTATTTCAAATCAGACCTAAATTCTGGGACAAATGGCATGCAACTAAAAATTATATTTTGAATATGCATGGAAAAATAGACAAAAGTTCACTATGGTAGAGTTGACTATCTCTCAAGTTTATGCCTTTTCCTTATTGTGACAGGCTCAAATTCAAAATGTGTTGCATTGATATGGATATTGACCTAGAATCTATCAAGATAGGATCACAGAAAATAGGCTATTCATTCAGATGAATACAGGCATACTAAGATGTGTTAACATGCATACTTTTCTTTCTTCAGTTTTGTCTATAATAACTTTTAGAAAGAATTTTTACTTTTAGATTACTTTAAAAAAACTTTATAGCATCTATTTCAATTATTTTTTTACTTTTGGAATAGGAATATTTTGACAAAACAAAACTTTAGGAAAAGCCCTGAATCTGAATTTTTTGGAAATTATTTTTGTTCTGTTCTGCTTGTTTCTTTTCTTTTTTTCATGTTATTCCTGTTAGACTTCTGGGTAAAGGCTGTAGTTAAAAATACAGGTAAATAATTTTTTTTTCATGAAAGAGCTTATTTGAGCTTTTCAGATGTGATGGTTATATCTAAACAATGGCAAAAAAACTCAAACGTATTGTTTTTCTCATGCTCTCTTTCTGTGAGTGGTATTGGGGCCACATGTTATGGACATCCGTTTCCATAATGCTTTTTAACATGTTTTTGTTTACAACTGGTTGTGTTTGTGTATATTGAAAATTATTGCTGCTGAGAACACAAATACTTGTGCAATGACATGTGCTTGTTCAATTTTTATACATAACCTTCTACTTATACCTATTTTATTTTTATGGTTACAGGCATACTTCCTTTGAGACATCAGC